TTTTCGTTATTTTCATAAGTATTTGTTCGGTCGAATCAGATCATATCATTGCGAAGACGGTTTTGTCACTTTGCATCAATGACGAACAGCGGCGCTCACTGACTGCTACTAACCTGGGGAAAGAAAAAATTGGTATACTATTGCTTTATTGCATATAAACTTCCCAATTTGGTAAAATGGTATAACTTATGTTGAAACTATCCACTTTATGTTGTAACAAACGTATCAAAAGTTATTAGTAGTGTTGAGTCAGTTTTGAACCGAGTTCCAAACTCAGACATAACAGCTCTACGCTTCTTCTCTGGTGTAACTTTATCGATTTAATGAATTTGCTATGTTTCAGCTATCACAGCATTTGCTTGCGCAAAATTTGCTCCATATAAAAATATTTGTGCAATTTTTGGGAATTAGACGGAATCGCCGTTTGCCTTTATACCTACGTCCGACGGTGTTCCGGCAGAGTTGGAACAGATTCGCTAAAGCATTTTATCGGCAGTGGTGATCTCAATGAGTCAGTAAAGCATGTTTATTTTGTCTCTGGAGGAAAATGGATTGGCCATCAAACAGTCCGATAGAAATCTTTAAAAATAATGTAAAAAGCCAAAAAAATCTTGGTGGAGGAGTGGAATATAATTCCAGAAAGCGTGCTAATAGTTGGTGGAATTAATAAAAACAACGCTGTAAGTTGTTATTGAGGAGCATAAGGAAACAAATTATTATTAAATAAATTTGGCTATTATTATCCTTTATTTCAATACACCTTATTTATGACAATAGCCAGCTCGTTGAAGAGCGATAACAACATAAATAAATTTAATTAATTGTGCTTTTCGAAAATAATAGCAATAGATTTTTACATATTATTATTGTACATGTTGTGCCTCAGTTGGGAATCTGTCTCAGTTCCGGAATGAGGCAACTGAGTTCTGGACTGAGTGACCGGATTCAGAACTGAGACAGGTCCCAAACTCAAACACAACAACTTTGTCAAAATGGCTGTGTGGCGGGGGGAGGGGAAATCTTGCTGGGTGCTCCGCAGTAAGGTCAATTAATAAAAGTGTTGGGGAAAAATGCAGAATTAAGTTCAGTACTATTTGCAAGTTTGGATAAAAAATAAAGGAGGCGCACATCTCGACTGAATCCTCGGTCACCGGCCCATCCTGGCTTGTTTGTTTATCTTTAATCCCCATCTGGTGAGAACTTGAGTTGTTACCTTTCTTGTGTGAGATAATGCGTTTTGTATAATTCTTGTCCGTGAAATTTTTTCGTTTTTTTCCTACCTGCTCTGTATAAACATTGGAAGTTGTAGATAGTGCATACTGTTCCGCTTATTACGGCCCCGCCACAGGCCGCACAAGCCGAGATTATACGGTTTCTCCGACAGAGGATGGGGCAGAGATTTCACACTGGGTGATGATAATATTCGGGATATTTTTGTAAAAAATGTTTGACTTTCTTGTTCTCTTATTCCTCGCTTATGGATCAAATTTTTGGATAAATGATTTCTCCCTCTTTTTCTAACGCGTGGCTTTTCTCTAAATTTTCTATTTTTTGACGGAGGGGTTTTTCATTAATTTTGGTAATAACTAATTCGTCTTCTAATTCCTGTTAGTTAAAAATGTTGTGTTAATATATTATTTGTATCAAATTGAGGCAAGTCTTCCGTCGGCTCGCTCTTTAATGCGATAACAAATTATCGTAATTTACATAGTACATACAGACAGTAAAGATTTTCAAAAAAAAAGACTTTTTCAATTAACTTCGATTATGCAAAGAATAGTTGTTGTTGTTGTTGTCGTTATTATTATTTACATAGCATACATGCGCAAGGGAAATTCTGGCAAAAACTTTTTCAGATGCTTTATTAGTAAACTTTCGTAGAACTGTGTATAATTAAATTTGGGCTTTGAGTAAATATTTATATGAGGGTCTGAGATCAATCGGAAACGTATATAGTGCGCGAAAAAGGTTTTTGAATAAATACTATTTTTTCCAAAATACGCGTCAAATTAAAATAAGTTTTGTGCATTCTATTTTCATGCACTTACAGCGATAAAGATTCGGCCATTCAGCTTGTAACGTGCATCATTTGTCTATTTATTTATATCTTTGTTTGGTTAAAAATACACGACAAGTTTTGATTGACTGACTACAAGCTACGCTGTGGGCAAAATAGTGGCCAGTATGATACGCTATACACTAAATTAACTTTTATTTCTTTCCAAAGGTCGCAAATCTATAGAGTGAACCATAATGCCTATAATATATTAAAAAACTCAAACATAAAATTTTTTAGAAAAAAGCACTTATTTTGATTTGATTCAAACGCATGCCGTCAAGATTGAAAAAATAGCTATAAATAAATCATTTCGTTTTATAGTGTAAGAGCACATCTGTAAATTTTATGCCTTCTGACTATTTCTTGTTACATCAGTAACAAAAACGTTATTCCAAAAATTTTTTCGTGTACTGTATACGTTTTACATCATTCAGCAAAATATCATTTTTTAACAGACCCGGTACATTATTAATTATTTAACTAATCCTACATCATTGTCTTAATTCAAGTAACGAATCATTCTGCTGCGACAACAAGACTTATTATAAACCATGACTGTCACATAGTAGTCGTTCACAGTTACCAATATCACGTGAAATTAGTAAATGCATCCCTTCCTATATCAATAATCTCGTCACGTTGTTAATTGCGTAGCTAAACTTAAAGTTAAATGCGCTGACACACTTCGTACACATGAGCTGATAATTCATAGCCAATCATATTCAGTCTGGTGTAGCGGGGCAAGTAATACAACAGAGACGCCCAAACGTGCAACGAAAATAACAATAACAAGTGTGTACATATTAAGTTCCTAAAATTGCAACTTTCTCGACTATTGGCCGCTACCATTACTTTTGCGTTATTATTGTTAAACATTAAATTAATTTATATTTATTCGGACCTGGGTCGCTTTTCGGGCTAAAACGAACGGGATTTGCGCAAACATATTAAGTAATTATAATTATTATAATAATAGGGCTGAATTGGGGGCGCAACTTAATGTTGTGTCCCGTGGTCAACAGCCATGTGTTAATGATACGGATCAGGAGATGTTCACTCATTATACATGTTCGCCTGCTGCGTATATTACAATTTTACTAAACACACGATTCAACTTGAAATTATTCCTGAAGCAATTTTGGACGACGAAAGACGAGCTTATTTAAATTAGAGCATGAAGCATAGTGGCTTCCTTAACCCAAATCCAAACATTTAGTAAAAGGTTATGTATAAACCGAAATTTAAGGCTAAACAGTTTGTATTGACGGCTTTGGTTAAAATAGAAATCACTACGTGGTTGAATGACGGCGGGAACCTCAAGTGACTCTGTCAAAGTGTGGCGGCGTTTTATCAAAACTTGGCCTAGCGCAACCTGTATCGAAGCTGTATTATGAAATGACGGTCTAACTATAAAAAGTTAACCGTTTGATATAGATTTTTTAAATTCTTGTTCTCTCATTGATGGTAAACTAGTTTAAGACTTCTCAGAGATAATTGGTGTTACCAATACGTATCAACCACTTGGTGTTCTTGACTATTGTGAGTAAATTTTCCGGTTTGTGACCGACCGTTTGTTGGTGGGTGGGTCTCACTTGCTGATGATCGTTATCACATCATGCACTGACATCTGGAGCTCTTCCTTAAATTGCTGCAATATTCACTTGACTTGATCTACATTCCAAAGCACCAATTATCTCCCACAGTTGAAAGAATGAGATCTGTCTGAGAGGCTATTTGTTTATAGAACCAACAGGCATAATAATAAACACTTTACATTTATGCATTATCCACAACATGCCTTGCTTAATATTATGTCGTTTGACAAAGAATTTATTTCCCCATCATTCCCCAACCGAATTTTATCGAACAAGTTATTTTTGATGGCATATTTGATTTCAACAGAGCAACAAAATTGGACAAATCCTTGGATTAAGTTTACCGTTCGTTAAAAATAGCTAATCAATGTAAAATTAATGTATTTTGTGTTACCTTTGGAGGGTAAATCATATTCATATATAGATTAATGTTAATAAGAAATGTCAATAACTAAAAATAGATCAATATGATACTCAGCAAGTGTCATTGACAGCTTTTAAACCAAAGTAGAACGACTTATTTACTGATTGCTTGCCTTACAGATATCAAGCTTGCCTTACGTTAATGTATGTTGTAGTCACAAAATCGTTAAGTCATATAAATTATGCAGGTACTACATACGAAGACCTCAATGACAGTTAAAATGGAAATATCTCATATTATTTCTCATCTTGGATAATAATATGGTAAGATTATTACTGGCTGGCAACGACATACCCGCTATGGTTAAGTTTTACTTTTAAGGCAACCGTAATATTGCAATGATAAGATTTGAATACATCGATTTAACAGTTTGATGATACACAGAGTATGTCCATAAGTTTATTTGTTCAAAAACTCTTTAACACAGTTTTCTTCCCAACGCAACTTTGACGTGGGTACGTTATGCAACATGATGTCATCATGCACCCGCACATTGAAGGTTTTAGCGCCACAATGAAATGTGAAACAATTCTTTTCCTTTTTTGTATATCACTCCTGTAATTGGAAGTCAGCTCGGACGTTCGAATAAAATAAAGATATGTTCCGCTATAAATTGTTTCGAAACCCTTAAATTTCCTTCATTTGTATTCGCTATTCGACATTTGCATAACGATAATGACAGGGCTTATTTGCCGAGCCCCAATGTAAATAGTATCATCAGTTTAACATTATCATGCATTAAGGATATAGGAAGTGAAGAACGATTTATTTAAGGAATCGTTTTAGAGAAAATAAATTATGACTACGACGAAGAGGTTAAAGAAAAATAGGGCGGTGGATATACTCGAGTTATAAGCTTAGAGTAACAACGTATAATTGACGACTGAAGACTTCCTTGATATACAACATGTAGGTCAATAGTCTATTTATTATTACTATTACTATGGGATTGTGAGAGTGGTTCATCTGTTGCCTGGGGACGGAACATGGGTGTGAGAGAAAACTGGGGCATTAGTGCTAGTATTAATACGGCTGAATAAAAAAACACAGATAATTGAATAGTCAGTGCCCAGTCATTTACATGGTGAAGGTCCCATCCGGTGCAAACGTGCCCCTGGCATACTTATTACTATAGAAATAAGTGTGAATGCACATTACGCCACGTCTGTTATTATTATAGTGTTACCATCTGCATTGCCGATGAAACACTTGTTGGTAATCTTTTCTTCGTCTATGTGAACATCAATTGGCCGGCATTTTAATAATTCCTTTCCACTCTCCCTTCTCTTACGTTACATACAGCTTGACCCAATTTTTTTTTATATTTTGACAATTATATTAATGGTTATGACTAACATATTCTCACTTTACGCTACTAGCGTCTATAACACTGTACATCGTACTCTACAATATTACGTGCATAGTCATACCCGTTAATTTTTCATATGCATAATAATCTCTCCGTCCTGCCAATCATTTATATTCTCTGGGAAACTGACTTAATCCTTTTTTACTACTACCACCTTTAACATGCAAAGTATATTGCGGCAATAAAGTTAAAACAAATAAAAGTCAAGTAAACCGTTTGTAAAGCATAAGATGTCAGATTGCGACATGATATATTTTGCAATCGAATTTGAATTTAACGTGTCTTTAACAAGAAACCTGCAGCTTTTAAACATATAAAGATAGAAGCACATGTGTGGTTATTGGCGTTTAATACACAGTCTGAGGACAAACTTACATAGCATACTTATTATTATTATTGTTATTTCCTGCTACCCGTCGAAATAGCATGTGAAAGGAGAATTCGTTGGCCAATAGCATTACGATAATCAAAGTCTGGGGGTTTATTAATGAAACTGAACTTTTATCATTTTAATGGTTTAGCATTTGAGTAATAGTAAGATAAATCGTCAAACTTTCATAGTACACAGTATAATTATAACGAATTAATGAATTAAAAAATTAAATTTAAATGCACATGACCAATAATTCAATTATATTCGAGAATTCCGTTATAAAAACCGCAGTTTTAGAGGTCTGCCTTAGTTATGCCAAGTAAAGAACACGAAATTATGTAAAAAATTATATGGATAGATTGTTATTTGCAACAAGAAACTAGTGATTTAAACTTTGCAGTAATTGTTTTCTTGATTTCAGCATGACTGCGGCTACAATGCTATTTTACAGAAATGCTTATGAAACATGATAATAAAAAAGACAAACACCCTGATAACGTATCTTGTCGCATTACCCAGATTATTGCTTTTCTGATGCCAAAACGTACAAGAATGCAGCAAGTTCTCGTTAGAATGAGAATGAAATCATGTCGCCGGGTTATTCGCCATTGTAATCATCTTGAAGGATAACTGTTCGTCGCGCGTATAAACTCTTTGTTTACTTTAAAAGGGCCATCGCCATTCATTTTCATAAAGTTTATACGTTGCTTGTAGTTTTAAAGCTGATGGCTATTTGGAGAGCTGGTTTTGTTGGATAAAAAAGATTATGGACATCTATCAATCCACCTTTTTATTCGTGTCATTTGACAGTACAATTTGTTATGTTTTTATTATTCAAGACGCGTAACAAACGACTAATTACAGATTTTAATTAAAGATTAAATTTTCCCGCAAATAGTCAAGTTTTTTTTGTCGCATGCTGTATTTGTATGCTTTCTTTTTCTTTTTCTTTTTTTCTTTTTTTAATTTTATTTCTGCTGACGCAATTTTTCTACTAGTAATGATAATGCGTTCGACAAATCGAGAGGAAGCTTCCATATTTCGATTAGTCTACTTAATTCTACAAATAGATTCACATAGCAAGGTTTAATCATAAGCATTCTCACAAAGTCACGTTTGGGAGGGAAAAAAAATATGCCCTACCTTGTTCCACATCACTGTTGGCGTTGTCAATCATTTTTTTTAACCGTATCCAGCAATCGCCAGCTATTTCCAAATATAGTATAGCTTCGCTGGCTATGTCATCGTTCACTAGATATCCGTTGTAATGCATTAAAACATTTGGCAACCAAGACTCGCACTAACATCAAAAATTAACCAATATACCTTCTTGGCTATCCGCATCCTCTGCTTCTTGCGCTAGCGAGACGCTATCATCATCAGAATTATCACTCACGTCATCAGCTTGTTGCGGAACCTCTTCGGATATAAGAAGATTGCTAACTTTCATAACATCATAACGTTCACAGCTATTCGATTGACGGATTTTTCTTTTTTTTGTTCGTTGTGGATACGAGCTGTCTTTTCTAACAGCATTCTTCTTGGTGCTCCTTGTCTGATTCGGAAACGTGTTAATGTTCTTTGCAGTCGCAGCATCTGACCCTAGTTTTGATGCATGATATGAAGCAGTAGACTGCATGATGGGAGTCAGTATTAATCTATTGGACTCGTTTCCAGTTGCCGGTATCGGACAGGTACTGTTCCCTATTCAACATGGAAATATATTTTACACATTAGTTTTGCTCTCGCGATAGGAATCTCTGAACGAATGTCTTTATAAAACATCATCATCCGCATTACCGTCATCGGATCTAGACTTGTCTCCAAAAACACGTTCGTAATATTCGAAACAATGATAAATAAAGCATGCGACCCCAATGGAAATGGCAATGGCTGACTGGCGCTTGTCTGCGAATTTCTTTCGAGTGATGAGATCGAAAAGTTTTTCGGCAAACTTGAGTGGCTGATCAAAAAGATCTACTACCCTGATCGCTGCTGAACTGTGCAAGAGTAGCGGTATTGATAGATAGTTAATGGATTGTCACTTTGGAAACGGAGGACCGGAATCAATCGGTATATATGTTGTGTCTGAGTTCAGGACCTGTCTCAGTTCAGAACCCAGTCACTCAGTCCAGAACTCAGTTGTCTCAGTCTAGAACCCAGACACTTAGTCCAGAACTCAGTTATCTCAGTCCAGAACTGAGACAGGTTCCCAACTGAGGTACAACATATACAAGCGGTATATACGATCTTGGTGGTAACGCATAAATGATCGTGTTGATATGATCTGTTTACCTTTCCAGTTTCAGATACCCACACTTGCTCAACACCTCTAGAGATACTTCAAATAATGACCTCCACTCCTTCACTGCCAGGTAATAACTTTGTGTGCGATAGAGCCACGAGACAAGTTGCTTGAACTGTACTCGATTGTCTGTCCGTTTCTTGGATGCATATGTTTTGGCAGTTTGTGTAGATGCACTGACTGACTTGGAATGTTTTGCGGTTATTCGTACGTTGGATACCGAAGAAGTTGTTGGTGTGATCGTTGTGGTCGGAGAGTCGTTGTCATACACTGTGATTTTCCGCCGTAGTATAAACGGAAGAAACTGTGTTGCTTTGGAAAGAAACCGAACGTTCAAGTAAGTAAGAGTAGGTGATTCATTGTTTTATTGGGGAGTCGATTGAGTTAACACTCCACCCATAGGTCGTAAGTCGAACGACTGATGCCAAAGAATGAATAAGCAATATTGACTAACCTAATAGTATCCGATATGGATTATTCACTGGCAGAGCCTGTCGATCTTCGCACCTAATAGTAAGTTCAGCCGCGTGTATCTTTATTATGTGAAAATAAAAAAGTTGATAAGAGATATCGACAACAGTCCATATAACAGCCATACTAAATTTAATTACCCCCAGGTAAAATGCTGATTCTGTGTTTTGATCCACTTTTAAAACTACGTTAAATAAATTACAAGCGTCTAAAAACTTCTCTTTTGACTCATAAAATACTTTACAGAAAGTATTGAAGGACAAAATATGGTTGGGTGAGTTCGTCGGCAGGTAATCACAGTGATTTGCACCATTACGGTTTCTTACTTGCGCTACGCCGAAGTATATCCTCC